CATCCCCGCTCGGCTCCCGCCGCGCGTTCCCATGGCAACGGGGTGATGGCGCAGGTCGCGGTGCCAGCGGAGGAGCTCGGCGGCCGCCCAGCTCCCCGCCCGGGCTGGATTGGTGATAGGCGGCGCCTGCGTCTCCCGAGATGATCGGCGATAATTGGTTTATGGAAATAGCTGAGAGGAGAAGCCGAGCGCTCAGCTAGAAACGAGCCTCCCTGCCAAGCCTGCTCTCTGCCACCTGTCCTGCGGCCAAGGCCGAGATGGAGTTGGGGGAGGGGAGAAGGGGGGCGGGGCGGGCTGGTAGAGATGCTGCTTTTGAGGCCAGCAAGTGTTTCACCTGTTGGTCCCCAGCATAGCTTCCGGTCCCCTTTCGCTTTGTGGGGGTGGGGTTGCCACAGTAACCCGGTGTTTGCCTGGGTCGGTCTGTGGCCAGGCCTATGGTGGGGGCATTGCTGGGGGCATGGAAGTGGACACCCAGGTTCTGTCCTTGGTTAGCACAATTTGAGGGGACAGAGAGGCGCCCCAGGCCCTGCCTGTGGTGGGGGCACCCAAGCTGTGTATAGCTGAAATAGGGTGCAGCAGGGCTGTGGCTGTGAGCCCCAGAGAAGCAAAAGTGAAACTCGGGTGACTGCCTAGAGGAGGAGGCCTCCTGAGCAAGGCTTTGAAGGTTGAAACTTCAGCAGAGGATGGGGAGGGGGGGTTCCCTCTGATCCCTTGCTGGGATTGTTGGTAGTGGTGGTGGCAATGTTTGTGGGGGGTGAGGTGTAGGTAGTTTGAGGGAGAATAGAGGTAGTTCTGGCATGTCTGCTGGAGAAGTTGAGGCAGTGCAGCTTGCTGGAGAAGGTTATTGTATAGTACTTTATAATAAAGAAGAAGCCTGGTGACGCAGTGGATTCAGCGTTGGGCTGCTAAACTCAAGTTTGGTGGTTCAAGCCCACTAGTTGCTCTGCTGGGGTACCAGGCTGTACCGAGAATGTGCCCCCAGCAGCTGGGGGTGAGGCACCCCAGGACAGAACCAATGAAGCCCCCAACACTGGGAAAGTGGCAGTGGGGCTTGAGGAAAGGATGGCTGGGAGCTGCCTGCCCCAGGGCTGAGCGTGGTGGAATGGGGCACCCACAGGTCAGGAGATGCTGTGGCTGTCACCTCTCACCAACCCTGGGCCTCTGCATACAAGGGCTCAGCCCCTCTGAGGTCCGAGTCCTGGCTGAGCTGAAACTAGCTGCTTGTGAGATCCAGGAGCCCCTCACTTCTCCAGGCTTGCAGGCTGCATCCCATGCACCAGCAGGGAGGCTGAGCAGCAGGCCCCCCATTTGCAGAGCCCCAGCATGCTTATACCCCAACGATCACGCCTGGTCCTCGTCACAGCCTGGCACCTTTCTTTCCCTGTCCCCGCGTGGTACTCACACTATCACATAGGGCTGTGGATCGGAGCCATCCTTGTTGGTGGGTAGGTTTACAGCTCCGTGGAGAGTGACCTCGATGATCTCCTTCCTGGAAGGGGACAAGTGGCTGTTGCCCGACTCTGTGGCCTGGGAGGTGTCCAGGGGATCCCGTGGGTCCTCGAACTCCTGTGGGGAGAGCCAGGGCTGAGCGGCCTCTTCTGCTGTGGCCGCCTCTCTTAACTGCCACCCTGTAGTGGCCAGTCCCTCTCACAGGTCCCCTCCAGTGACTGTCTCCTGTCATCCTCTCAGTCTGGAATGACAGCACCTCTTGCCTTTGACCTTAACTTCTCCCACACTCCACCTGCCCCGCCCCTTATTCTTTTTTTAAATAAGTCATTTTATTGGGGGCTCTTACAGCTCTTACAACAATCCATACATCAATTATGTCAAGCACATTTGTACATTATGTTGCCATCATCATTTCCAAAACGTTCTTTTTCTTGAGCCCTTAGTATCAGCTCTTTTCTTCCGTTCCCACCCTTATGAACGCTTGATAATTTATAAATTATTTTAATTTTCATATTTTACACCATCCGCTGTCTCCCTTCACCCATGTTTCTGTTGTTTGTCCCCATGTGGGGGGGTTGTACGTCAATCATTGAGATCGGTTCCCTCTTTCTCCCCCTTCTCCACGCCCCCCTCCCCTTTACCCTCATGGTATTGCTACTCTCAATATTAGTCTTCCTGGATTCCGTGTGTCCAGAGCTCTTATCTGTAGCAGTGCACATGCTCTGGTCT